AATAATAAAAATAATAATATTTATTAAAATTTATTAGAAAAATAAAATTATTTCTCAATTGATATATTTATATTTAATGTAGTTACATATTGTATGTTAAAAAATTAGTATAATATAACACAAGTAAGTCGCACAAATAAAAAGTATCATAATAAATATATAATAATATATATATTCTTATAAAAGGTATTTAAATTTTCAACTACTTTTTCTCATTAATTTTAAATTTTAAGAAATAAATTAGCAAGCACCGTGTAATACACGGGTGTTGTACTAGTTTGAGAATTAAACAAGCAATTCTATCAATACTTGATCCGTAAGAAATTTCATTTACTAGATTAGGTTATTTCTCTAATAAAAAATATATAGAATATTCACTTATTCTTGTCCTATATTACAGTATCTCAGAATAGGTATTTAGAAAAACACTAATTGCATAATCATTTGTCCAATTTTTAAACTTGCTCTATGGAATTTATTTGTCATTCATAGTTCATTCTAAGAATTTACTTTGTTATGGAGCTATTGGATGACTCGGCTTATGAAGCCATCCATAGTCATTCACAAATGGTGTACTGACATGTGTCCTACAATAAATAAATAATAGACACATGTCAATACATAAAGTTATGGATTGTTTCATAAGGGAACCATCCGATTGCTCCATAGCATTTTTGAGAATTTATAGTTCATTCTTAGAATCCATTTATCGTTATTTATTTACCACAATTACTCCATAAATATATTATTTATATAATTACGTGCAATCACAAATTTACTCATCTCAATTTATCTATATGATAACTTAATTATGAAAAATATTCTTAAACTTGATTATATTTGGAATGAAATAGAAATGAATATTTCCCTCATCATTTCATAAAGCTTGTCCTTATACCATGAAAACAATGGGATTAACCTACAAATTATCCTTCTCACAAATTTTTTTATCAATGATTTATTATTAAATTATTTTAGGTAAAGTAAGGTAAATTAAAATCATCTTTGTTTAAATAGTATGATATGTTCACTTAGGGGCAATAATTAATTAATTTTGAGTTTGTTATTGAATATGAGATAAAATGTAATGATTACAGTTGTTTTGCTATGAAAATAGTAAAATCATGATTATAAATAGTTTGTAATTAAAAATATGTAAATGAATGAATAATGAATTTTACTGAAAACTTTGTATTAATGATTGATTTTTATTATTTAATTATATAATACTACTGAAGAAAAAATTGAATTAGATCAATAGTGAAGTTCGGACTGAATATTTGTATCTGAGCTTTCGAAAAAAAAAATGTTACAGTAGATTCATATAAAAAAAATCAAACAAGATTTTTTTATATATTGCTTTTTTTTTTTATATCCAATCGCGTAAATCAACATTTAGGCTATGTTTAATAGACAAATAAGCTAGCTATTTTATAGTTTATTTGGTTAGCTTATAAGCTTTCTACTCAAATAAGCATCGTTTGAAAGAACATACTTTTTTAAAAAGTTCGAGCTTATTTGATAATCTTTTTTACATAACTTTTCAAATAGGCTAGTTGAATTTTTTTATTTCTACTACCTTATCAGCTAATTTTACCAAACACTTTTATCATATAAATTAGTTTTTCAGATATAAGTCATAAGCTATAAGTTATAAGTTCGAAAATTATTGATATGCTATAAACTAATTTATTAGCTATCAGCTAGTTTTAATAAAGGACCAACATATTTATTTGTCTGATCCAAGTAAATTAGTAAATAAATGTTTATGAGTCCACAAAATTAGAGCAAATGGTTTGTACATTCCGTTTTGTCACTAGTTGTTACCTAAAAAAAAAAAACCAAAGTCATTATTTTT